GGCAAAATCGTAGGTAGGGAGAAAAAAGCTCATTATACTCTCGACTTTTGTTCATTAAAAATACTTTTTCATAATAGTGCGAGTCGAAAACAAGCTTTAAAGCTTTTAATACATATTCAAATATAGATAATCACCTCGTTGATATTTTCAGTAGTAATTGGTACCAATAACAGCACATTTGAGCAATGAAATTGTAGTGGATAAAATGGTCAATTTTTCCGTGCAGTACTGTACGGATTATACGCTCCTCACCGGTTAAGAGTTTGGCCGAGAGTTGTCTTCTTCCTTTTCTGGCCTAGTGCTGTTCTTTTCTACTTTGCGTCGGTTAAACTGAAGGTCACATCGCTACAGAAAGTAAACGATGTATAGCTCTTGTGTTTTCCTTCGGGGTTAATTTTATATTTTAGTCAATTGGTTTAAAATTGTTATTTTAATTAATGTCCTCTAATAAATTCATATTAAAAGTGTTATCTAAAGCTTCAGTACTTTTTTAAAATGAAAACCGTCTTCTCCTAAATAATAAATATGATCTCAAATTGTTCGCATGATCCTGTCAATAGTAATATCGGCTTTCAAAAATAATCAAATAGGTACCACCACAAATATAGAAATGTCTGCGTGACGTGGCAAGCAACGGAGGTATATGATCTACGTAACTAAGTGTAAAGGAAAAAACGATGAAAAAGGTGACAAAAATAGTGTTACGAAATATATGAACGACCCTCAGTGCTTGCCATCTGTTAAAACGTCAGTCAGACGCTAAAACCAGCAGAGTAAACATTGAATCAATCAGACCCCTCAAACATCTCAGTTCTAAACCGCAGGTTGTAAAACGCGATCAAGTTTACCAAATTCTGTAGGCAAAGGGTATTATTAAACTTTTTATGATTGCTTTTGTTACATGGATCGTGCTGCGTTAATGAAAAACGAGGATCAATTAGAAGATATGCTTAGAGCAGTTCGGTTAAATTTAATTTTCAGAAACTACTTAGTTGCAAATGAATTAGGCAAAAATTATACAACCGATCTTGATCAAAACGAGTTTTTTAACTATATACATCTTTTGGACTAGGTACTTCAACCTGGATTGTCATTTTAAATAAACAATACCTATAGTAGAATGAATATTCGGGCTATAGGGCTGTGGGTAAGTGAACTATTCTGTCCAGACGTTTCGTCAGCTACCGCGGCTGACGTCCTCAGTGGTAGTGCTGCGTTGACAACGTGAACGTAGATTATATCTCGAAGTCTCGATAGCGACAGGCAACAATACCTATCTTCAAACGAGTAGTAGTATGCTTAGATTTGCAGATGATATAGCAGTATTAGCATCTAGCAAGGAGGAGTTAGAGATACCTTTAATTAAAATGGAAGCGGTATTGACAAAAGAGTACTGTATGAAAATAAATAAAAGTAAAACAAAAATACTGGTATGCAAGGGAATAAAAAGTAGGAAAAGAGTGAATATAAAGGTAGGAGACGAAAAATTAGTAGAAGTGGCCGATTTACGGTATCTAGGAAGTCAGATAAGTTAGAGTTAGAGGATAGCGCAGGGTCGAGTCGCCTACAGTAAGAAGTCACTTCCATGCTCGTGAACGGTTAATTTAGAAGAAGATTATTGAAGGCATATGTTTGGAGCGCCGCGCTGCAAGAGTGCGAAGCATGGACAGTGGGCCCGGTGGAAAAGAAAAGGTTAGAAGCGTTCGAAATGTCCTGTTACAGGCGAATGATGAAGATACTGTGGATAGAGAAGGTTAGAAATGAAGAGGTACTAAAAAAATAGGAGAACAGATGACTCTATGGAAGTCAATAAGAAATAGGCGAGATAGGTTAGTAGGACATCTTCTCAGGCATCAACCTTTAGTCAGAGACATATCAGAAGCAGAAACGGAAGGAGAGGTAGAGGTAGACCTACATTAGATTACTGTTCGCAAATAGTTAGGGAAATGCGAGGATTAGGTACCTCAGGATAGGAAATAGTGGAGGAGAGTGTGCAACCAGTGTTCGGACTGACGACATTTTGATGATGATGATCTTGCAGTAGAAAAATTAAAAATTTTAGAATTGAATAGACTTTATCTTTTAGAAGATTTAAGTAGAAACAAAAAATCTTTTTTAGAAGGTTGCTCTGGACTGATCCCCATTTCTAACTCGATTAGGTACATCAAGCTAAAATTGCCTCACTTTACATACTTTTTGATCTATCTATGGAGAGCTCTAATATAATGAAATTATTATTACCTCACTTACCCACCGCTGTAGGTTCAAACTAAGTCCTATTTAACAGCTGACGTTTATTAGTTTCTTTTGCTATCTTAGTATAGTGGTGTTTTATTACTTCTTAAGGTTATTGATTAGCTAATCAAATGCAATGTTCCCGCTATCGTGACTTTTTCTGCAAAATGGCATGCTCATCTAAAAGGTTACCTAATTTATTAGACCCGAAAGGCATCGAAATAGTAGACCAGTTCCTAGAGAGTAATGACTGTTTATTTAGTGATGATAAAATCGGAGATCCATCATTTGAATCAGAACGTTCACCCAGTTCAGATTCTGAACAAAAAATTGATAATGTTGACTCACGTTATCAAGAAACTGAGCTGAAACAATAACAAAAATTCTGCACGAAACTTTCTCGTTAAATTGTTCTTTCTAAGTAATTTCTGATCACACTTAATTTTGTTTTACTCATCCTACCATCTGGATGCATTAATTATGTACTACAATTATATGTATCGCCAGCAAACATAGATCCGAATTTTAGTCTCTGTTGACTTATGGGCACCCTACGTAGTGCATAGTGGGTAGGTAATACGAGGGTGGATTGATAAGTTTCCGGCCTGACCAAGAAAAACAAGGTTTTTAAAAATTTTTTTTTTTTATTTCTCAACATAATCTCCTCCAAGGCTGATACATTTCTCATAGCGGTGTTCCAGTCTATTAATGCCATCTCTATAGACTGATTCGTCAAGCTCCTCAAAATAACCATTTACAGCTTCGATTACTTCTTCATTGTCCGCAAATCTCTTACCGCCAAGCCATTTTTTGAGATTAGGGAACAGAAAATAGTCACTCGGGGCTAGGTCTGGAGAGTAAGGAGGGTGCGGCATCAATTCAAACTTTAGATCGTTGATTTTAGCCGTCGCAACGATTGACGTGTGCGCTGGTGCGTTATCGTGATGAAACAAGATTTTTTTCTTCGCCAGATGAGGTCGTTTAATTTTCACCTCGTGGCTCAAACGTTGCAATAAGTCTGCGTAGTATTGACCAGTGATAGTATTACCCTTTGCAAGGTAATCAATGTATATAATACCTCTTGCATCCCAAAAAACAGTAGCCATAACCTTGTTCGCCGAAAAAATTGTTTTTGCCTTCTTTGGAGTTGGTTCCCCTGGTCCAATCCACTGTTTAGACTGTTCTTTGGTTTCAGGAGTGTAGTGGTGGACCCACGTTTCGTCAACGGTTACGAATCGACGCAAAAATTCGCTTGGATTACGCTTATACAATGACAAATTTGCGGTAGAAATGTTTTTTCGAATCAATTTTTGGTCGACTGTTAGCAAACGCGGCACCCATCTTGCACAGAGCTTTTCCATATGCAAATGTTGGTGCAAAATATGTTGCACACGTTCATATGACATCTTACAGGTCTCAGCTATCTCACGCACTTTCAATCTGCGGTCTCCCAGCACTATTTGATGAATTTTTTCGATCATATCTGGAGTTGTGACCTCAACGGGGCGTCCTGAGCGAGGCCCATCAGAGGTGCTCACACGACCCTTTTTAAACTCGGAAACCCACTGCTTAACGGTTGAATATGACGGGGAGGATGTCCCCAGTGTTGAGTCCATCTCTTTTTTAATTTCCTTCGGCGTTAACCCCTTCAAATAAAAGTATTTGATGACAGCACGATTTTCCTGCTTTTCCATTTTTACGAAAACCACAGAGGCGTCTTGTTCAGCGTGCTGTCAAACCTACACTAGCAAGGAGATCGGGCTGAAACTATAGCTACAAGCTATCCAAGGATGGTACTATAGAATGTCACCTCAAGGTAGGCCTAGTGGCGTCATCTCTTGGTTAGGCCGGAAACTTATCAATCCACCCTCGTACTCACTGATAGCCTGGCAGCACAATTAAAAAATTCAATAATACTGTAGAAACAATAGGTATATAAATGTAAATATAATTACGAATTTAGGGTGTTCAGAAATATCCTTTCACTTGTGCTATAAGATATTGTTTCTTTTCAAATTTCATTTTTATAGGTCAACGGGAAGTACACTGTAGGATATAGGTTTTGATTCCTTTGAGAATGTCAAATTATGTGGCATAAATGGCAGTATTTTCTGATTGAGTTGACGTAGACGTTAGCTTTTTTATAGCTGCAAGGGATTGCAGACCGATCATAGTATTTGATATTAATTTCAATTTGATATGCTTCGTTTACTTTCTCTAGCAATGTGCCCCTTCCAATGTCTTGGATGCGCACTGACAAAATCGGAGGTAGGGAGGAAAAAGCTCATTATACTTTCGACTCTTGTACATTAAACATACTTTTTCGTACAGTACTTGCCAAAAGTATTATTCAATCATGAAAATCACACTTCGTGTCAAAAACAAGTTTTAAAACCTTTAATATGTCTTCAAATATAAACAAACATCTGGTTGATATTTTCAGTAGTAATTGGTACCAATAACAATAGATTCGAGCAATGCAATTTTAGTGGATAAAATGGTCAACTTTTCCGTGCAGTACTGTACGGATTATACGCTCCTCACCTGTTAAGAGCTTGGTTTCCTTCCTTTTCTGGCCTAGTGCTGTTCTTTTCTACCTTGCGCTGGTGAAATTGAAGGTTATATCGCTACAGAAAGTAAACGAAGTATACCTGCACGTATTCCTGAGAAAACGGGTCTTGACAAACAGACAGACAGACAAACAGACAGATAGACAGACACGCAAACGGACGCCTAATTCTTAATAAAAGCGAGTATTTACTTACGTTTGACTTCATATTGCAATGTACATGTCTCTTGCTTTTCTGAAACAATTTAAAAGTAACGAAGTCTCAAAATCATTTAAACAAAGCGTAAAAATTTTAAATTACATTCTTAGACCAATATTACTCCATTATCTACATAAAAAATAGCTCAAGGTAAAGTATTTGTACTAATTTTCCTATACTAGGTCGTATTTCATGCATGACGACTCCTTTTGATGCATGATTGCTTGTAAGATAGAATAGAACCCTATGTTAAATTTTCAACTCGTTATTAGTGTATAACAAAACTTAAAGATGTTCTACGGGTTCCAACTCGCAAATGCAGTGTTTGAAATTGTTTGATTCATGATTAGTGGTGGAAATGGACGTCGGAAGTGTATAATTGGTTTTCGCGAAACTACTAGCACGTTCATTTCTAGGTTTGAGTTATAGAATTCCACAACTGTTAACGTGGCGTTGTAACATTGTTAATCTTTTCGCCTTAGCGCCGTTTCATACATCATACATGCAAGAACGAGCGATGGGACCACGGGTGCTAATCAAGTTAGCCGCGAGTTCGGACTTGGTGGGTGGTCCACGGTTGTAGCGGTGGTAGTAACAACGCCGCGCCGCGCCGCGCCACGTCGCGTCGTCTCGATCCCGTTGCGAATTTACTGTGAACCAAGTCGGATTGTTCACGGTATTACGCGTTTAGTAACGGTTATCTCTTGACGCATAACAAATTGCTGCAAAAGTTGAACTGTCTTTTTTTATCGTGCCAACCAACACGACGCAAAAGCGACGAAGCTGAAGCGCAGACCTTTCTTTTTTACATGAATTTCTAGCTAAAAGGGAGTCAGCTGCAGACAATCGGAAATATCAATAACTAATATTCTTTTAGTCGGACTTGCTGTAGAGATATAAGTAGATATTTTAGGTATATAATTTTATATGGCCTGTTTTATTTTATTATATTTTAATTTAATTAAGTCTTACATAACTAGTACTCACAGTCAATTATTGTATAAAAATTTTGTGACCTCTTATTTTTAATAAAAATGTAAGATAAGAAATCAAAGTATCAACTTATTTTGAAGTTACCTAAGTATATAATTTTCGAAGTAAAATTTATTATTTACCGCCAGATCCTCGACCGCTTGAAGGGTAAATTGCTCGAAAAGAAGAGAGTTACTGGTTGGAATTTATTTCCGCTTTCTTTACTCTGAAATGTCAATATTCTGTTGTCACCTGACATTCGTGAAAAATTATGTACGAACAGCGATCTTAGACAAATAAGCTATCGAAATTTGATTAGTAGGTGAATATGAAGAAATCATGCTATACCGAGAGTATTCTGAGTGCATCCGTTTACATGAATACACATACAGGGTGTTTCGGAAGTAAGTAGGTAGCTTGCAGGAGGTGATGGGATACAGAATGGTATCTAGATACTGAATTGAGCGCGCAAAAGCTAGTGCAGATCGCTAATGATTTGCACGATCGTGTGATGATCGCTGCAAATGAAACACGCCTAATGCCGAACTTGTTTGCGCAACTCAGAAATAATTTTAGTAGACGCTTTAACACAAGGAGTTCGAATTTTGAACAAATTTTTTTAGTATACATACGTATGCATGTTTGTGTTTACTGGTGTTGTAATTAATTATTATCGTAAAGAAACTAAAGTATCAACTTATTTTGAGGTTACCTAAGTATATAATTTTCGAAGTAAAATTTATTATTCAGCGCCAGATCCTCGACCGCTTGAAGGGTAAATTGCGCGAAAAGAAGAGAGTTACTGGTTGGAATGTATTTCCGCTTTCTTTACTCTGAAATGTCAACATTCTGTTGTCACTTGACATACGTGAAAAATTACTATAAAATTATATTGTTAACTAGGTAATAATTATCTACGAACAACGATCTTAGACAAATAATCTATCGAAATTTGATTAGTAGGTGAATATGAAGAAATCTTGCTATACCGAGAGTATTCTGAGTGCATCCATTTACATGAATACACATACAGGGTGTTTCTGAAGTAAGTAGCTAACTTGCAGGAGGTGATGGGATACAGAGTGGTATCTAGATACTGAATTGAACGCGGAAAAGCTAGTGCAGATCGCTAATGATATGCACGATGGTGTGATGATCGCTGCAAATGAAACACACCTACTGCCGAACTTGTTTGCGCAACTCAGAAATAATTTTAGTAGACGCTTTAATACAAGGAGTTCGAATTTTGAACAAATGTAGTATATATACGTATGCATGTTTGTGTTTACTGGTGTTGTAATTAATTATTATCGTAAAGAAACCAAAGTATCAATTTATTTTGAGGTTACCTAAGTATACAATTTTCGATGTAAAATTTATTATTTAGCGCCAGAGCCTCGACCGCTTGAAAGGTAAATTGCTTGAAAAGAGGGGAGTTACTGGTTGGAATGTATTTCCGCTTTGTTTACTCTGAAATGTCACATTCGTGAAAAATTACTAAAAAATTATATTTTTAACTAGGTAATAATTATTTATGAACAACGATCTTAGACAAATAAACTATCGAAATCTGATCAGTAGGTGAATATGAACAGATCATGCTATACCGACAGTATTCCGAGCGCATCGAATTACATGAATACACATATAGGGTGTTTCTGAAGTAAGTAGCTAGCTTGCAGGAGGTGATGGGATACAAAATGGTACAATTAAACGTACGGATCTTGGCGCGCATTCCAAATCTAAATCTGCTTGAATTATTTCCACAGGGTTGTATGCAATAGAGCGCGCAAAAGGTAGTTCAGAACGCTAATGATCGCCAATGATATGCACGACCGTGTGATGATCGCTGCAAATGAAACACGCCAAATGCCGCACGTGTTTGCGTGACTCACAAATAATTTTGATAAACGCCTTAAAACAAGGAATTCGCGTTTTGAACAAATTTTTTAGTATTCGTACGTAAGCATGTTTGTGTTTACTGGTGTTGTAATTAACTTTTTTTTAGTGGTAGGATAGAGCTATTGGCGAACAGCCCATAAAAAAAGATAAAAGCATAAAGTATATCTTGGCAGTATCTCAATCGTGGTTTGGAATTTAATATTAATTTACCTATTAATATTTACCTAACGTTAATTTTTTTGTGTTGTTAGTACCTTGTCGAGGTGTACTTTAAATAGTACTGAATACTATCAGCGATGAACGAAGTAATGTTTTAATTTTTATGGTTTTATTACAAATGTTTTTTTTTCTTAACCATGTTTTTTTACTGATCATGAGATCCTCCTTAACGTCTAGTTAACATGCTTCAAAGCGTGCTACTTATTTCAGAAACCCCCTGTATATTCAAGCTATCCTTTGTAAAAATTATGCGGAGCGGTAAAGTGTCGTCTCAATACAGCTTCACCGTATGCAAATGATCTATCATCATCTGATGAATCTTTGCTCTACTTTGTTTAGTACTTTACCATTTAATGATTACGATAAAAATTGTTCTACTTTTCTGTTCAAATAACTGTGTATATACGTAGTTTTATTGTCACAAATCCATTTTACGATGTGAAATATTAATCAGTGTTCAGCCGTAGAGGCCTTGACATGGTTGTAGAAATATAAGATCAAGGGATATTGTACGTATTTCTGGTAGCAATTCATCAACATGCTCATGCAATATAAAATACAACAAGTATTCTTATAAAACATGGATTTGCGGCAATGTTTCGCAAATAACTGACATTTGCTGAAACTAAAGTATTTCAAATGTTAGACAAGGGCCTTGCTGAAGTATCTCTTCTTGTCCAATTAAACTAACGATCTTATTTGATTCCATCAGCACGCCATAGACAATCTCGATATATCGCCTACCGAACCAAAGACGCTTTTTATGAGTAGATTCATATACAGCCATCATTTATCGCTTTAACCAATATCTAAATGATATCTGCTCAGAATCCAGTAACAGTTCACTTGCATACAGCAGGTAATTCTACAACCGTCGAGAAAGTATCGCACCTCCAAGCTAACCACATCATCTAAAAACGTCTTTTTTTTTAAATGGCGTATATACAGAACCAATAACTGTATGAACACAACATCTGACCACGAGAACCTGAGCACCATTTACCGTTATTTGCTACCTATATAATAAGTTATCTACCACGTTGTGGTTCGAAGTCGCCCTATGGGTCCACTCTTTACTCTAACTCTAGATCTACAATCACAAACTAAAATTTACACGTTACCATCATTTATCGTTAACCTTTCAGTTTATCTTCCTATGATTGTTTTTGCCGCCTTTTCCACCATTTTGTTTCGGAAAAATTTAACGTAGTTTGTCATGATGGTTTAAGTGTAATTTACATATATATATATGGAGAGCTC